GCTGATGCTCTAAAAGTCAATACTGTAACCCAATTTAGTTTTTCACTTTACTATCAATCTTCTTTCATTGCAATCAGACACTCATTTCAATAAATCTCAGATTGAATCAAATTGGTTTTCTAGGAGCACAATATTTTGCTCTGGCATTAGAAGACAATCAGGTTGTATTTTTATTTTAATACTCAGATATATTCTCATCTGATCATATTTTCTACAGACACTTCAGCAACTAGATCTCTGTGAAAATCAAATCGAAAATAAGGGTGTAGAATATCTTGCTAATATGTTTCGAATTAATAAAGTAAAACTTTCCCAAATATTCTCATAGGCATTTATCTTTGTTCATACAGTTCATTATTACGTTGGATGTTGGTGGGAATAAGATTACCGACAAGGGATTAATTTACTTGGCTGATACTTTGAAAACAAATCGCGTAATTGTTTTTTTTTCTGTTGTTCATCGTTATCGTCATTCTATTTAGACACTTGCTGCGTTAAGCTTTGCTAATAATGAAATCGGCCTTAATGGAATACAGAGTCTGAGTGTTACTTTGCAACATAACCACGTAATATATTTTACTTGCATTTCATACTTACATCTGTTTTCATGTTAACTAGGTGTTGACTACGTTAAATCCTGCTAGCAATAAGCTTGGTCATCGAGAAGTATTATACTTCGCTAATAGTCTAAGAAAAAATCAAGTAATGATCTTCGTTGATATTTTACATATTTTAATCCATCTTTAATATAGGCACTCACCACACTGATACTGGCATTCAATCAAATAGGCAACGAAGGAGCAGAGCATCTGGCTGACATGTTACGTTACAACAGTGTAACATTTTCTTCCTTTCACAAGTGTATAAATGATCTTTATCTACACATAGACACTGACAACATTAGATTTGCGCAGTAACCATATTGGCGATAAAGGTGCGCAGTCGCTCGCCGAATCCTTGCAGATCAATCAGGTAATATAATTCTCTATTGTTTCTGATATCTAGCTCTCTCTCCATCGCGTACAGACACTTACGAAACTGAATCTGTTTATGAACGAAATTGAAGATCCAGGAGCACGACAGTTGGCTCATTCCTTAAAAAAAAATCAGGTTGGCTATATTATCTTGTCTTTTAAATATATGCTCTAAATTGTTACAGACCGTGATGGAAGTGAATCTTGCTAAAAATCTAGTTACTTTAAACGGAAAACAATGCGCAATGAACATACTAGATGACGATACAAGATTGAAATTGTCCTGATTATTAATAAAACAAGACCCAGTAATGAAAAGGATAGGTTAACATTAACAATATTTGTTTCATGATCTATAGAAATTTTTATGTTAATCAAGATCATAGTTAATCAAGAATATAACTGAATATATTACCGTTACATGAATCATTTGGGCATGAAAAATAAAGTATTGAGAATACCATATGCAAACTGACAACAGAAAATATACATAACTAGCTCTGAGAAAAGTACTCATTTTATTGTGTTATGGCAAAAAAAGTTTGAATACAAGAGAAGTATGCCACAAGTCAGTAGATAATAGCGGTCGAAAATATTTCAGTCAATATTCACTACATTTGTAATGTAGAAAAGGGACAGTTATTCTGAATACGCAAAAGGATCCTTTTCAGCCATTGATCACTCTTCACAAATGCATCATTTATTCTTTCCTATTATTCATGCCATTATTTCATGAGAGTGGGCGTGAGTGGGTTATGTGGGTATGAGTATTATATCCATCTCGCACTCACTCCCTCAACTTTTCCTTTTCCTTTTCTTTTCTAAACTAACATAAATGCCTTCGAATTCGAATTATAAATTATAATTTAGGAAAACTTTTTGAGCGAATTATTTTCGAAGTGATACGGTGCAGTCAAGGGTGCATTTATGTTGGAAGTCGAATTAGTCAGCTCATGCAATTCAGTGCTATGTAAAAATTAGTACGATTGGCAGTTTTTATCGCTTCTATCAACAAATTATTGATATATGTCCATTGTTGTTGTTGTTCGTAGTTTCACTTGTGTGCCGAAAGAAGTGACAGACATCCTTTTGAATGACATCCCTTATATTATTTTTATCTTTCTCCTTCTCTTTCCTTTTTTATCTAGCCGATTCTATCGTTTCATATTCTCTCTTTCTCTCTCTCTCTCTCTCTAGTATATATACTGGTGTTGTATGTTCAGTAGTTACATTTCGATGTAGAGCATAGTTAAAGAAACATCGTATCGCAAGATACTACACTATGCCTCTTCATTTGTCATAATGATCGGTATGTAGCAGTAGCTCATTAACATTAATGCTCAACCAGTGGTATCTCTACATTTACATTTTCTGTTACAGCTTCCATTTTGGTATTCGAATGTTATATTAAGAACAAATATGCAACGACAGAATATTTAATATTTCACCTTGGTATATTATAGCTTCAATGTAATATGAAACAACGACGAAGCACATTTTGTTAAGATACGAAGAAAAAAAAGGGCAATGATGCATGACTGCTCATCAAACAGACAAACGCACATGTTGGCTTAGTCATGATCGTACAAAACAAAACTTTTGAAACTTTTAAAATTTACTAAATTCTTCAAAGTATAACAAAAATAAATTAATCATAATAACTGCTATTTATAATTCAAAAAATAGTTTATTTCTTTCTGTTGGTATAAAATAAAATACAGTATATATGACAAAAATGTGTATTAAATGTCTATTTGATTGTATGTGTTTTTCATCTTTTAAACGACATCATATTTATATCATTGATCAAATAAAATATTGATAACTTCATAATACAATGTGTAATAAACTATGTATTTGTAATACAAACAAAAGCGTAAGCATTTATACCATGAAAACAATATTTGATATCGTTTATATTTTCAATATTAGTCAAAAATCATAGAAGTCTATAGTGAATGCCTTTGAAATAAATTTTAATTACACACTGATGTAGATAAATGTGATGCTAATATTATTTGTAAACTTTCTTTTAAACTAAGTAAAGCTAGAACAAATATATAAATTTCAGTTATTTCTTTAAATACATTTAAATTCTTAAATAGAAATATAACAAAATCAACAGTTTCCATTTGTTTTTAAACAGATGTACAGGTTGAATATATACAGTATATAAAAACAATTTCTAATTTAAGTTTAATTAAAAGGTCAATATTATTCACTGATGATCAGAAATAGACAAGTTTGTATTGATCTATACCTAATATTGTTTACATAAATATATTCTATTGTTCATCTTTTTAATATAGTATAATTCTTTTTGATTATTAAAATTGTCTTTTCAGAGCTTTAAAAAATACAGCATGATTATCTGTGATTACAATTAATAATGTAACAGTTATTATGTGAATACAAAATGGAATAACATGATAAACAAGTACATTATAATAATTATATTTTGATAAATATTAAGGAATTTTCGTCTTACACACAGTTTGCCCAGTTGAATCTTGAGCCATTTATATAAAAAACACAAAGAATAAATCGAGGTAATTCTCTTTCTCGTAGAGAAGAGTCCAGTAAACATAAATTGTCTGATTGCTTGATTGCTTGATTGCTTGTCTGTCCGCAGGGTCAAAAAAACATTGAAATTAAATTTTTCAGATACTTCCGGAAAACTTTGACTGGAGGGGGGGGGGTAATCGAGGGTGGGGAACTTGAATCTGAGGTTAGTTTATTAAAATTAACTAGTTGATAATTAGTTAATAATCAGTTAATAATTATTATTATTATATGTTCGAGTAAAGTTTCACCGAAGGGTAATCGAGTGTGGAGAATCCGAATCTGAGGTTACTTTTAGTTAACAATCAATTAATAATTAGTTAATAATTAATATTATTAATTTTTGAAATATTTTCGGAAAAGTTGGACCATAGTGTAATCGAGTATGGAGAACTCGAATCTGAGATTGATTTATTAAAATTAATTAGTTAATAATCAGTTAATAATTGATATTATTAATTTTCGAAAAAAGTTTGACCGAAGGGTAATCGAGTGCCAAGAATTCGAACGTGAGGTTAGTTTTAGTTAAAAATCAATTAATAATTAATTAATATTATTAATCTTAAAGATAGTTCCAAGAAAGTTTTACCAGAGGGTAATTCGAGAATCAGTTTTTTAGAAAAGATATTTTTGGGGCATTTCGATGCGGAGACTTAGAATCTGATGTTAGTTTTATAAAATAATTTTATGGATCACTTTTTTAGAGAGAGAACCAATTTTTATAAAGAAAAAGTTTTCATAAGGGGTGACCGAAGGGTAAGTGGGGTGGAAGAACACAAATCTGGTGTTAATTTTTCCAAACTGTATAAGCAAAAAGTTTAGTATAGTAGAATACGATTTCTACGAGAAAGAGCTGAGCGAGGCGGCAGACGAGCGTTACTTGTTTTCTTTGTTAGGAAATAAATCGAAAATGATATATGTTAGAAAATGAATCGAGGGTGTTTTTTTCATTGTACAATAGAAAATCAAGAATGTCATACATCATGTTCTTGTTTAAATGACTAAATAGTGATAAAAATATATAGATTTTAAGCATTTCGAAAAGATTTTTGTTTTTTGTATAATTGTTATACTCTACGATAATCTAATAATACAATTAAATCATAATTTTATAATTTTTCTCACAATCTATTGTTTTTATTCGATACATCATGGAGAATCATTGAAATATAGTATTTTATATACATAGTATTAAACTTTTCAATCTTTCTTCAATTTATTCAATCAAATACTATCTTATTGATCACTATCAGTATTTAGTTAAATATATTCAATATCATCAAAGACGACTAGCTAATATCATTTTTTATTTGTTAGTAACAAAAGATGAGCCATATCCTTTTCTTGAGCTTTAATCAGGTATTTATCATTTATTAAAAATATTATTGGTAACAAATACTATTCATTTATCAATTTTGTTTCATTATTTTCAATAATATTTTCACATAAAACATGTTCAAGTTGTTAATCTGACAAAAGACGAATTAAATTACATAATTGTTCAACTGATAGTAGATGACTAGTAATATCATTTGGTTGTTGTGTACATCGTATAATTAATGCTTCTATAGCTGGTCGAATAGATACTATTTTTGATGCTAAATCAGTATTCATATTTAACATTAACCTAGAAGAAATAAAAATATATTTTAATAAATATATAAATATAAATATATACCAATTATCTAGACAAATAAGATTTGATTCAACAACATCAACTTGATCAGATGCAAATAATAATAATTGAATTGGTGTTGACATTGACATTTGTTTGGCTGATACAGCTCGTGTTTTTATCTAAAAATAAAAACGAAATAAATTCTGATTTAGATATTCAAAAATTTCTCTTACTTTTTTGGTAAAAACAAAAAATGGTGATGAAAATATTGGAATTTCTCGTCCACAATTAACCGAATTCTTATGTATTAATGCTTCTTTACCTGCAGTTGTTAATAATTTTCATTTTCAAACATGAAAACAAACATTTAGATAAATTACAAGAAAATATCGATAAATAGCTGGTAATAAATAAGAACAATTTTGTATTGAAGTTACAACATAACCGTAATATCCTAGAAAATTACAAAATGAATTATAATACCAGATTTGTTTCAAATCATTTTGAAGTGTAAATAAAGTCATACTAATCGTACAACTTCCAAAAATAATTTCAGCTAAACATGAATTTGCAACAAACATCATTGGAATTGTATGGCATGTTTTATCGAGAAAAATAACAAACAAAAACGTGATAGCAAGTAAAACAGCGAAGATACTACATGAAAGCATGATAAAATCAAAAGGAATAAACCATAATTCAATATTGATTACTGTGCTTAAGTTACTATCTATAGCCATTGTTACAGTAGAGAAAATGTTTAAAAAATGAAATTAAAGATAGAAGTTGATGAAAAAAAATATTATATAATTTAAATCATTCATGTGTACTATTTTATATTATTATGGTTAAAAATTTTTTCTTGTGTAAGTGTTTTATACTTCACTCTTTAAAACATAATTAGATGTATAAAGCACATAATAAGTTTTTCATTTCAAAAGATGTATTCACCAAATAAATCATGAGGAGATAGCTGAGATTTTTTTTCTAAATGAATAAAAGATGTTAAGTTGAAAAGCTGTTTTGTTTGATTGTATACAATATATGTAATAGCGAAGTTAAAAATAACTTTCTTTTTGTAGATTATTTGAGAATGTACTTTTAATTCTGATAAAACATTCTATATTTTTTTTACTTCAACAAACTATATAAGCTTTTTTTTGTTCCTTTGTATAAAAATCAAGACAATATTTATACACAATCAAATGAAATAAATAGTATAACATCCACATCCTCAGAATTAATTGAAACTCTTGTATAATGAAAAAAAAGCTTTATTAAAATTAAAAACTAGTATGAAATCGATATAGTATGTGACAATAAGTTGTATCACATTACAAAAAGAAGTAGGTGCGGGCGTGAGTGTTCATAGTGTGTGATTATTATATCCACACTTACCCAAATTAAACAAATCTCCTTGAAAATTTTATTTAAAAATCACATGAAAATATTTTTATTTCATCAAAAATCTTTGAAATTAAAAATCAAATTTATCAACAATTACTCCTTGAGGTGAGTACAATTGATTAAGATCTTCTCCTTGACCATTTGCAGTAGCCACAGTAATGGCATTTTGTTTCTATTTGTTGAATTTTGATTCTAGAAAACGATGAATTAGATGAAAAGAAAATGAAATTATAATCCTTGCAAACTAAAAACCTCTGATAATAAATCTATTAGATGAATATATTATTTATATATATGCAATCATTGAGAATATCAAATGATAAAGCTTTAGAGTTTTCTTCTAAAAATTCTTTATTATTAACCGAATTTTGTTAGAAATAATCATTCTCCTTAAAGAGATCAAATTAAGTTTTAGTCAAATCTTAAAAGAAAAACAAAAGTTAAATTGTACTACTAGAAACGAATTTATGACAAAGTCTTATTATCATCGATAAAATCAAATATTTCTAAGATGAAAATAATAAAAGAAATTGATTATGATTAAAGATTTTTTCAATTGAAAATTAATTAAAAGAACATTATTATTTTATTTGAATAATTATTTATTTATGTCAAAAATAAGTTGAGATCTATATTTATAGTTGATTTCTTAAAATAATTTAAATAATTGATTCTGAACGAGATTCAAAACAACGTTATAATGATATGGAACGACAAATGAAAAATGTTTGCATACAAAATGAACGTTTAAATAATCAATTAGAAAAATATACATTACAATTTAAACAACTTCAACATGAAATGAGTATTAAAATGCAAGACATATCAACACTTAAAGATGAAACAGACAGGTAAAGAAGATGCACGAAAAATAGCATCTAATTAGAGAACAAACTTAAAATACTTTATTAAAAGGAGGTGGTCGAAAATCGTCATTTTTAATGCACACTAGAAATGTCACAATATGAAAGTCCTTGCCACCTGGATCACGAATCTGACATGTGTTTGTCTAGAACAAAGTATTCAAAAACTTTTCTCAGAAAATTTTACTTTCCCACAATCTTTGTAGAGCTTCTTTCGCTGATCATTTTCATATAAGGAAGTTTTGAATCCCATTGAGAAATGACGATGTTATCGTCAAAATAAAAAACATAGTAAAATAGCTTAAAATCCCATTTTCTTTTTATAAAATACAGAAAAAAGTCGAGTCTCTAATCTCAAATCGACTATATTCTGAAGAAATATGACATAGTGGGTTTTATAGAGCACAGTTTTCTCTACAAAACCTGCTATGTCATATTTCTTCAGAATACAGTCGGTTCGAGATTACAGAACCAACTTTTTCCTATATTTTATAAGAAAAAAATGGGATTTAAACTATTTTCTGAGTACTTTGTGTATTTGTGTTTGACATCCCATGGAACTACTCTGCTGAGACCCAGGTACCCCCCTCCTGCGTGAAAACCGACACAAACGGATATCAGATTCGTGATCTAGGTGACAAGGACTTTCGTATTATGACATTTCTAGCGTGCATTAAAACTAACGATTTTTCGACCACCCCCTTTGAAAGTAATCAATACCAATGTAGAAATGAGAAAAGAGAACGTAAAATGATTTGCCTATAGCATAAATCGATATTATGAAGTGAAATGACAATTTCATGTCGTGTCTCTATTGAAAAAATTGTACTTAAAAAAAAAAAGCTATCATGATAAAGCCTGGAAAAATAAAAATTCATACATTATTTTTGCTTTATCTTAAGATTACGTACAAGTGAAATTCAATATCGTTTGGAAGCCGATCGTCTTACAGCTTATCTTCACGATGATCAAATAAAAATTCAACAACTTGAACGTGATTTATATGATATAAAACAGCGACAATTAAATAATGATGACAAATCAATTGCTGTAAAAAAAACTTTCTTTTTCTTTTACCTTATAAAAAATTTAATTTATCTAGAATCTTCGTGAATTACTTGAATTAAAAGAACGTGAATTAAATGCATTAAAAGAAAAATTAGATTATACTAAACAAACTCATCAAATTGAATTACAAGAAGCAACTAAAGCCAATCAGGTAGGCAACGTCGATAATTACAATTACCATGCTTCTTCTTCATTCTACTAACACACAATCGATTCACATGGAATGCTTATGAATGTTGTTGCACATGCGCTGCTTGTCTATCTTTTTTTTGTTATATATGACTGATTTCTAGATAAGCATTGCGTTCTTCATGTATAGTTTTATTTTATTTTTCCGAGTTTTATTTTATTATGAGTAAAAAAAAAAGTATTTTCTTTAGTTTATTTTATCGGTGATATACATATATATATATATTATTGTGTGATACTAATGTGTCTATCTGCTATATTTTTTTTAACGTGATTGCTGCTAGTAAATAGAAAGTAAAACCAACATCTTTTAAATATTGTGTGAACAAAATTGTTTTTTTTCTTCTTCTAACCGTTGATTTATTTCTATATTACAGTTTTCACTTGATAGTGAAAAACGTCTTGAACAAGCCGATTTACGAAATAAAGACAAACGACGAGAATTGGAAACAAAAGTGACGAAATTCTGTACAATTACTAGACCTTTAATTGAAAATCAACAGTTATTTAAAGAGGTAAAATAATAAGTAAATAAATATATTTTAGTTTTTTTTCCATTCCATTTGAATAGAATCCAATAATTAATATGGATGAACTACGCAAATTAATTGGTGAAGTTGATACAGAAAAACGAGTTTCAAAGTAAGTTGTTCTAGTCATACATTAATACAATCGGAATGTATAGCTTAGTAAATCACTCGTGACATGAATTATTATAACGATTCTAATTACTATAAAACACATACGATGAAGGTTGTTTCTCTTGACATTTTGTGTTTAGTTAAAGAAATGACATTCTTCATGCTATAAAATTTTAACTTTTAGTACACTTAGTCCAATTCGTGATTGTTTGGGTCTTTTGGAAGCTCAAATGAGAGATTTACACAGTGGCGGCGGAGCGTGGAGGCTCAAGAGGCTTAAGCCTCACTTATTTTCGGATTGAATATTATCTTTTATTATTAAAATTTGTTATGTTCTGCATCTAACATAACTAGATATATATTCTGACATATCTTATATCTACCTTTTAATGCGGTTCACCTATTTTTTATATGTTTTTCTTTCGTCTATTCTTTTACCGCATAGATATCACATACAGCTTATATATATATATATATATATATATATATCCTGTATGTTTCTTTTCTTTTACTTGGATATTTCCCTTGTCTATATGATACTGAAGTATTTTCCTCTTTTCTTACATTTTTTCTTGCCCGCATGATTAGTTTTTCCTCATTTCGTCTATATATGTTTTATTCCCAGAACATTTGTTTTTTTCAAGCGCATATACACATACACGTATATATGTATATTATTGTGGGAATAAAGAAGTAGCTCAGTAGTGATCGGATTGATTTATATCCTCTTCACATCGTATTTAATGGCTGGAAAACGTCGAAGAATTCATCCATTTTTCTTTTTGACACACATACAAAGAAAAGTCTCTGTTCAACTTTCGCATCGAAGAACGAACAGAGAAAGTTATTTTTTGGTACGTTCTGATTTGTTTTATTTTCACGATGACCGTTGTAGTTTTTATTGAGGTCTAATAAAAAGAAGACTTATATTTTGCTTCATGTTTTGATAAAAGTTCACAGTAGAAAAAAATATTGTGAGCCTCACTTAGGTTAATGACGCTCCGCCGCCCCTGGATTTACATCATGGTATTATTGAAAATCATGCACGACGTTCAAAACGATGGAAATATAAATTAGGATTTGAATGTCTTGCATGTGAAAGTCGATGGTAAAGATTATTTATTGATTTATTTAAATATATTTTTGAAAACATATTTAGGGAAGTTACACATGATATTCGTGATTTACAAGAAGCATGTTTAGATCCAAATCGTTTTCTTGAATCATCAATTGTTGAACCTATGGCAGGATGTTCATGTCCAATAATAATTGATTTTATTGAGAGCGATGTTCGATTGATTGTAGATGATATGATAGATGAAGTGACATCAACAATTGCAGTGAACTAAACATTTTCTTCTTGTATACCTGTATTCAATTTGTTTTTCCGTGTGTTTTTTTTCTTTTTTTTCCGTTTTGCTTCTTTAAAATCTGTTATTGGTCTAAAAAGGTTATCTCTTTATTTATTTATTTTGTCGGTTAATAAACAAAACATTTAATATGATATTTATATCATTTTAAATCAATTCGTTTAGTTTATTGTTCCACGAATTACTCGTAATGTGTATACAGCTTATTAAAATTGAATTTGATACAACATATCATTTGGGTATTATAACGGAAATGTTGATGTTTATCCTTTATTGTATCATATATTCTAAGAAAGAGAACAAGATGAACAGGAGAGAAGAGGAAAGGAGGTGAATCAGCAGTCGTTGACCGACCGACTGACTTACAATACGTTAGCACAGCTATTTATACATGCATGCGAAGAGAACAAAGAGAGAGAAAATGAAGAAAAAGAAAGAGATATGTGATGGACGAATCAGAATCCATCACGTGTATTTCGTATCTTAAATTAAATTATATGTAATTCAGTTGTATCTAGAACTATTATAATAATAGATATCGAAGACTTATTATCGATATATGAACATACTTTAATTTTGTGAAACATAATCTAAAAGGAGTGTTTAGCGAAAGAAATTTACACCCACTTTTTCTTTGCCGCACATCGCTGCATAGACACGACCATTGAACTCATAATGTTTAGGAAAGATAGATACGTAAGAGACTTTTTCATATTAAGCGACTTTCTCTCGAATTTTGTAACAACTGTTAAAATGTTGACCAAGTGAGTTCATAATAAGTAAACTATTTCTGTCTGGTATTTCTATACATTTCTATAACAAGACAAGATGAAAACCATTTTATAGTGAACCAATTAAACTATGTTCTTGACGATAGAAACAACAGTTAATTTGTGTTTCACATGTTAATACCGCTAGAGATTACGCTAACAGCTTTTGTAAAGGGTGTATGTGAGGGCATGAATGTGCCTGTGACTATGTTTATGGGTTGTAAGAAGATAAACCCACATCCATACCTACATCACACCCACGATTTTTCTCGCTTACAAGTGGAAAACACTTGATGAAAGTTAGCAACAGATTCGAGTTTTCTATGCTGACATTCGTTCATAAATCTATGCTGGGTTTCTATTTGGTTGTACTGGACGCAAAATTTAATTCTGTGTCGAATAGCATAATTTGTGAGGGGTCATCGATCAAAAAATATGGGATTGAGGGAAATATTGTGTGAAATAGTAGTTTCATTTAATAATCCTTGCATTTATCCATTCCTAACCCTGTACTATGCCTCTAATTGATTGTCATGAATACCCAATTTAATTGAGTGCTTGGGTGTTGATGTGGACGAGGGTTGCTATTAGTGGGTGCGTGTCGGTACAGAACTGATATAATAAATGCTCTCACGTCTACACCTTCACCCACATCCACATTCACCCTCGCCCACCCTAACCCACATCCACACTCACAACTACACTCATGCCCTAACCCACACCGACACGTCGCAAACAGTGTTACTACGTAAAGAGAATACTGATAAGGGACTTGATGTTAATTTTATCTTGACGAAACAAAATTTCATACAAGTTACCTCTTGTGAAAAAGCACATCATTCTCTGTGTTATAACAGACAGCAAAGGACTACAATCAACATTTATCTCAAATTCCAACTCCAACGAGAAAAAAACCAAGACACGAACACCAACTTACGTATAAGCCAAACGTAAATAATGAGCTCTAAGAACTCTGAAGCTGCAGATCCAGTACCACCAGCATCAGCCAATATGCCTGCTACCACGCAGCAGGCGGCTGATACAGTGCCACCAGTATCGGCCAATATGCCTCCTACCACGCAG